ATTCTTGGGCACTTGAAAATTTGAGGATCAAAGCTTGATTCATAAATCAAAGTTATTCATGCAGGGCTTGACCACCACAGGATATCGAAGAGGAATAATGGAGATCAATGCTTGATCCTGGAATTCAGAACACAAAAGTGGAATCCGTTTAGACGTGCGCGAAACCAAGTTTCTAAAACATTTGGGGATTTTAGAAATTGAGGAACTTAGACGACATTTGATTGACTTATACCGTAATGTGTTGATTCACAGATAGAGCGAAGGGGGGGGGGAGTCAAAATGATACGTTAGCGTTCTTGGTCATTTTAAACGTTTTTGTCTGCTATGTACAGATTAAAAATCTTTTGGTCCACTGATTATTAGTTGATTGAAATATTGTGAATTTAAAAATGAGTCAATTTTTTTATTTGACTGATCATTAGACTGATTGATTAGTTGATTCATTCATTCATTCATTCATTGATCTCTAGGTGAAGATGATTGACAAAGTCTCCTTCACCTTCGGAGTCCTGAGTATCTGTGCCCTGGAGTGGTTAGCTCTTAGGTAAAAAGAGACTTTTCACTAATCTATATCTGTTTACAGAAATATTTCACTCATTTAGTTCTGTTTACAGAAATATTTCACTAATCTAGTTCTGTTTACAGAAATATTTCACTAATTTAGTTCTGTTTATAGAAATATTTTACTGTTCCCTATCTATTTCAATTGAAATGGACTCGTCAATATTTAGTATATGTACAATATTTATTAAAGGTTCAAGAGACTATTTTGTTAAATCTAAAAGAAGTTTATTTAAATTTGCAGACATGCAGACTGGTTTCCCTGGGCTTACTATTCTATTATGACAGTTTTACTGGGTAAGTTTTTTATTATTATTTTGATCGTTGTTATCATTAATATATCCTATGTTGTCTTTATATTAAAGATTAAACGATTTATTTCCTCTTTCTAGTTTCATTAAAGAAAATTACATAAAAAATATTGGATGATTTCCTGTTATTGCAAACCAACAACAAGATTTAGAAATATGAAATTTTGAACTGTTTATACTTTTTGCTTCAGCTCTGAGGTTCCATGTGTACAAAGCTGAAAAGTTTGAATTATTTATGATTGATTTCTGCTATTTCATGAACTTCTCAGGTGAATAGATTCATTATTTTAGTCATTTTTATTTTTTTATTCATTTAGATCTATCCCAAAAAATTATTACCTCATGTATTTACTCATTAATTTTTTCATTCAGGAACTCACTTATTCATTCCATAACTCATTTTTTTATTTCATAACTTATTTATTCAGTCAACAAGCTACTTATTCATACAGTCCCTCATTTAATCATGCAGTAACTCATTTATTCATTCAGTAAATCATTTATTCATTCAGTAAATCATTTATTAATTCAGTAAATCATTTATTAATTTAGTAAATCTTTTATTCATTTATTAACTCATTTATTCATTCCATAACTCATTTTTTCATTTCATAACTCATTTATTCAGTCAGTAAGCTACTTATTCATTCAGCCCCTCATTTATTCATTCAGTAACCTTATTTATTCATTCAGGAGTTCATTTATTCATTTATTAACTCATTTATTCATTCCATACCTCATTTATTTATTTCATAATTCATTTTGTTCAGTCAACAAGCTACTTATTCATTCAGCCTCTCATCTATTTATTCAGTAACTCATTTATTCATTCAGCCCCTCATCTATTCATTCAGTAACTCATTTATTCATTCCATAACTCATTTATTCATTCCATAACTCATTTATTCATTCCATAACTCATTTATTCATTCCATAACTCATTTATTCATTATCTCAAAAGTGTGTCCTCAATAGTGCGTCCTCAATAATATATTCTCAATAGTGCGTCCTTAATTTAGTAATATCTCAAAAGTGTGTCCTCAATAGTGCGTCCTCAATAATATATTCTCAATAGTGCGTCCTCCATTAAGTAATATCTCAAAAGTGTGTCCTCAATAGTGCGTCCTTAATAGTACAATCTTAATAGCGGGTCCCCGATAGCACAATTTTAAGAGTACATTCGTAATTGTTCATAAACATCTATGTTAGTATTCAGTACTTAGTGCGTCCTAAAAATGCTAACTTTATTTAATTATTATAATTACCTGATAAGAATGAAAACTAACTATATAGGCTAACTATGTACTGTGTATGGGTCCACTAATGATAGCTATTATCATCTGGAAGAATAGTCTTGTATTCCACAGTCTGGATAAGGTTAGTTTAAACCAGTGTTTAATATTTTACCTGGATTGGAACTTGGATATAAACCAACATTTATTTTTTATTTTTGCACCTAAACTTAGTGTGAAACTATTTGGATAAAAATGCTTAAATCCACCTTGCACCAACATAAATTTTTTTAAAAGTTATATTTGTTATAATTGTCGAGAAATGAGAGATTATTAAAACGCTTCTCACTCCGAAATCAATTAAAGATTTAAAGAGAACAAATAAAATTCAAATATTCTTGCTTTATCCGGATCTAAGTTTCTAAAAACGTATCCAGGATAGATGAATCCCATGCTCGTATAAAAATTCTATTTTTTAAACAAAGAGGAGATTTCAAAATATGACTTGAAAGTTTAAATTTCTCAAATGTAAATTCCAAACCCGATAAAAGAAAAGAAAACTAAAACATAAGAACTTATTAACTAATATTTTCACAATATTTCAGCTTGTACGGCTTTTTTATGTTATGTACTTTCCCAAAGGATTTTTCCCAAGTGGCAACTTCCCAAGGGTATTTTCCGNGACGTTACCACTTGTGAAATTGTCACTTTGGAAGTCGCCCTTGCGAAAGAACCCTGACACCATTTTTTTAAATTTCTAAACAATAATTATAGACATTGAAATTTTTTTATTGAATTATTGAATACTGAGATCAATCAAATTTAATTTTTAAGTTGACCTCGTTCTACCTGCATGCTATGCCCCCGTTGACACTTCACTTGTTCAGGTAGTTTTATTCTTTTAATATTCAGGGGAACGACGTTTGTTTTGGTAGTTTTATTCCTTTAATATTCAGGGGAACAAAGTTTGTTTAGGTAGTTTTATTCCTTTAATATTCAAGGGAACTAAGTTTGTTTTGGTAGTTTTATTCCTTTAATATTCAAGGGAACAATGTTCATTTTGGTAGTTTTATTCCTTTAATATTCAAGGGAACAATGTTTATTTTGGTAGTTTTATTCCTTTAATATTCAAGGGAACAATTTTTATTTTGGTAGTTTTATTCCTTTAATATTCAGGGGAACAAAGTTTGTTTTGGTAGTTTTATTCCTTTTATATTCAGGGGAACAAAGTTTGTTTTGGTAGTTTTATTCCTTTTATATTCATGGGAACTAATTTTGTTTCGGTAGTTTTATTCCTTTGATATTAAGGGGAAGAAAGTTTGTTTTGATAGTTTTATTCCTTTAATATTCAGGGGAACAATGTTTATTTTGGTAGTTTTATTCCTTTTATATTCAGGGGAACAAAGTTTGTTTCGGTAGTTTTATTCCTTTTATATTCATGGGAACTAAGTTTGTTTCGGTAGTTTTATTCCTTTTATATTCAGGGGAAGAAAGTTTGTTTTGATAGTTTTATTCTTTTAATATTCAGGGGAAGAAATTTTGTTTTGATAGTTTTATTCTTTTAATATTCAGGGGAACTAAGTTTGTTCTGGTAGTTTTATTACTTTTATATTCAGGGAAAGAAGGTTTTTTTTTAGTATTTGTATTACTTTTATATTCAGGGGAAGAAAGTTTGTTTTGGTATTTTATTCTTTAAATGAATAAGTATAGTCTAACAGTGCCTCTGAACAAAATTACATTTTTTTTTAAATTTCAATGTTATTGTGTAAATCTGAATATTTTAGATTTGGTGTCATGACGAACAAGGCAATTAAAGCAGAAGATACCTTAAGCTTTGCTGAGATATTTCTAGGCAATTTGCAATTTCATTATTTTACTATTTTTAATATTTATTTATTTCCCATCAGGGGGTAGGCAACTATTTATTGAGAAATCCTGATATTTTGCTGTTCACAACTCTATATATTTTACTGTTAACGAATTTTACATTATTTTTGATATTTAAAATTGCATAGAGGCTTTTTGTAAATTTTCTATATTGTCACTGTGTGTGAATTGTACTGTACTGGCTGGAATGTACACTGTACAGTACATAAAACAATTTTGCATATATTTCGGAATTTAATTCATGTTGCAAATTTTTGTTTCTACATATATATTGCTATCTGGGATTTACATACAAAAATTTAGCATCCATTTTAGAACTTCATATTCTTTGCAAATTTAATTTTTCTACATATATATTGCTAATTGTAAATTGTACATCCGTTTGGGATGTACATACACAAATTTAGCATCCATCGTAGAACTTCATATTCTTTTCAAATTTGATTTTCTACATATATATTGCTAATTCAAAAATATACAGTACTGTCTGGGATGTACATACAGAAATTAAGCATCTATTTTAGAACTTCCTATTCTTTGCAAATTTGATTTTCTACATATATATTGCTAATTCTAAAATGTACAGTACTGTCTGGCATGTACATACATAAATTTAGCATTCATTGGAACTTTATTTCCGTTGCAAATTTAATTTTCTATAATATATTAAAAATTGTACAGTACCGTCTGTAATATACATACACATACATAAATTTAGCATCCATTTTGGAACTTTTAAACTTTGCAAATTTTGGTTTTTTCATATATTGTAAATTGTACACTGTACATTACTCTATGGGATGTACAGCGCATGCATTAATTTTCAATCCAGTTTATATACTTTGCAAATTTTAGTTTCTATAAGATATTGTAAATTGTAAAATTGTATATTGTAAATTGTAAATTGTAAATTGTACAGTACCGTCTGGAATGTACATAATCTGGCAGCTTGGATATTATCTGATCACAGAGGTAAATGACAATTTTTGGTGCAGACACAGTTTACTTTTGGTGCAGACACAGTTTACTTTTGGTGCAGACACAGTTTACTTTTGGTGCAGACACAGTTTACTTATGGTGCAGACACAGTTTACTTTTGGTGTAGACACAGTTTACTTTTGGTGCAGACACAGTTTACTTTTGGTGCAGACACAGTTTACTTTTGGTGCAGACACAGTTTACTTTTGGTGCAGACGCAGTTTACTTTTGGTGCAGACGCAGTTTACATTAATCTCTTACAATTGTGGCTGGCTTTATTGTGCTCGCTTCTAATTAGTTAATGTTAATGTTCCAGCCAATGTGAAGCGCTACTGCCCAGTGCCCATTTATTGTTGTTTTTAGCTGTAAATTTTTATTTAGCCACGTTCATAGTTTTAAGATTTGCATTTAACTCAGCGATTCTTTTAAAAGGCGAGGGTGTTATGTTTGGCGGGGCGAGGGTGTTATGTTTGGCGGTCAGAAAGGCAAATTTTTATTTTTGGAATCTTTTATCTTATCCAAGTCAATTCAAAGAAAAATTTTGACTTTTCATGGGAAATAGAAATATTATATCTTTTTGTGTCCTTTAAAGTATTCTGTCCTCTAATCTTTCGTGTCCTCTTGTGTTTTCTGTCCTCTTTGGTATTCTGCTCTCTTTGGAATTCTGCTCTCTAATGTATTTTGTCCTCTTGTGTATTCTGTCTTCTAGATTATCTTGTCCTCTAGTGTATTCTGTCCTTTAGGGCAATTCTGTCCTTAAGTTTATTTTGTCCTCTAATGTATTCTGTCCTCTAATCTCTTTTGTGCACTAGGGTATTGTGTCCTTTAATCTATCTTATCCTCTAGTATATTCTGTCCTCAAATCTATCTTGTCCTCTAGTGTATTCTGTCCTCTTATTTATTATCTTGTCCTCTAGTGTATTCTGTCCTTTAGGGCAATTCTGTCCTTAAGTTTATCTTGTCCTCTAATGTATTCTGTCCTCTAATCTCTTTTGTGCACTAGGGTATTGTGTCCTCTAGTATATTCTGTCCTCAAATCTATCTTGTCCTCTAGTGTATTCTGTCCTCTTATTTATTTTGTCCTTTAGGGTATTCTGTCCTCTAAGCTTGAGCAGGACCCTGAGCTAATAACCTCCTTGAGATACCTGGCCTCGGATAAGAAGAATGGATTCAGAAATCTGATTGTTCAGATCCTCGAGAAAACTGGAATTCATGCAAAGGTAATGAATTGTACATTTGGGTTTAGAGGTTAAACAGTACATAAGTGTACAATACGCCAAAGTACAAAATTAAATGGTACATCAGAGTACAAAGGTTTTATATCACTCTCTCTGTAAAAGTTCGACTCGTGGAAATGAACTCAAGGAAATGTGAAAGAAAGAAAATTTACAGTATTTTTATCAAAATTACTCAGATGAAGGTTTAGATAAAC